ATTTTTCTACAGCCTGATTGTTCTGTTTTGTTACCTCCTGTGCTATGAGTCCAGGGAGTCCTGTTGGTTCACTATCAGACTTTTCATTTTCATTTGTCCTACTATTTGCCATTGGTGAACTGGAAATCTGTTTTTTTGTCTTGCTTAAGTGTTTTCTCATTTTTATTTTTATTGTTGGGTTGTCCTTCTTTAATTTCTGGGTATTACTTAAATCTTCCTAATATAGTTGCGTTTTAGCTTTTGAGTTTCTAATGACTCATAGACATCCTCATTTTCATAATATCAGAGAAAACAACTCTTTAAATCAATCAAAACCCTTTATCCCAATTGATACATTCAGCAGCCCAATAGGATCAGGCACTTCTTGCCAACTGACCACTTGTGGTAGTCATTAATGTATCACTTTTAACTCATGTGAATTAAATTAATTTCAAGAAGCAGCCCATAGTATGTTTGCAGTGAATATGCTTTTCAATATAGCATCTTTACCATTTAGGATGGGGGGTTAGACTTAGAACGAGAGGATTAGATAAGTGAAAGATTTAGAGCAGGTTTGAAGTGAATCCAGAGGTTGTAGAATTACCTTACTATCTTTACAAAGCTATTAGCTTCAGGGGGGATAGAGAGAGTGCAGGAATAAGGACAAGAACATATCCCCTTAACAACAATAGGCGCTTGCCTTCCCTTGAAGGTCCAGAGCCATGAGTGAGGTAAAATGAGTGGAGAAAAGAACATAAAGAGAAACCCCTCCTACAAACAAAAAATAATAAAATAAGAAGTCTGAGTTAGGGCAGGAGCCAGAATAAAAAGGGAGATGAGGGACAATATGGTGGAGCAAGATACTGAATTGGAGAAAGAGGACAGAAAAAAGAAAGAAATTTTTCGGGTGGAATGAGGAAAAGAAAAAAGAGAGAGAGAAAAAAAAAATTTGAAGGGCCTCTTTCAGACTGTCTCTGTTCTCATATTATACCACATGTACAGCCATATGCAGAACCGAATCCCCTGGTCTCAGCTAGCCAATGGCAGTTCCCCACGACTGAGACCGAACACAGTCTACAAGGCCTAACTTGAGTTTCCCTACCCTCAGGGTTGAACTCCACTCAGTTCTATGACAGGTTTCCCCTGCCCTTTCTTTAAAGATGTTCAAAGTTGGGAGCTCAGAAAACTACCCTTCATGAGAACATATGCCTCTACAGAGTTGGTCTAAGGACTGGCCCAATCAGGAGGTTTGAGAACGTGCAGGGGGAGAAGGTCGTGGGGGTGTTTCAAGGGCACCCGCGTGGCTACCTTCCTTACTGGGTCTGTTGTCTCACAGTCCGGGAGGTCGCGCACCTGCCAGATGATCTGAGGCAGGCAGGCAGCTGAAGAGACACCCTCCGGGGTCTTTGGGTCCTTCCTGGGTCTGTGTCATGCAGTCCGGGAGGTCATGCACCGGCCGGGTGATCTCAGGCAGGCAGGCAGCTGAAGAGACCCCCTCCGGGGTCTTTGAGTCCTTACTGGGTCTGTGTCGCGCAGTCCGGGAGGTCGCGCACCCGCTAGGTGATCTCAGGCAGGCAGGCAGCTGAAGAGACCCCCTTCGGGGTCTTTGGGTCCTTACTGGGTCTGTTGTCATGCAGTCCGGGAGGTTGCGCTCCCGCCGGGTGATGTCAGGCAGGCAGGCAGCTGAAGAGACCCCTTCGGGGGTCTTTGGGTCCTTCCTGGGTCTGTGTCGCGCAGTCTGGGAGGTCACGCACCCGCCGGGTGATGTCAGGCAGGCAGGCAGCTGAAGAGACCCCCTCCGGGGTCTTTGGGTCCTTCCTGGGTCTGTGTCACGCAGTCCGGGAGGTCGCGCACCGGCCGGGTGATCTCAGGCAGGCAGGCAGCTGAAGAGCTTCACGTGTTTATTTCCATCTGTATAGAAAAGGCAAAGTTTTTAGACAGAGTTTTTTTATTTTTTTTTTTAGGGAAAGTTTCCATTTAGGAAATATATTTTTTAATCAAGATGTTTATTTTCTGTTCTTGAGTTTTAAAAGTTATTTAATCATGTATGTCCTTTGCAAATTTTTATTCTGTTCTGTAGCTTGTCTTTTCTTTCTCATTTTTTTTCTTTTATTGAGTTTATTGGTTCATTTTAGGTATACCGTACAATTACATTCATTATTGGGATCTTGTACCTTTACATGACAGGTCTTGGTTCTCATTTTTTCCCCTTGTTCCTGCCCTCCCTTCACCCCCTCCTCTCCTCTCCATTTGCAAACACTTTATTTCCATCTTTTCATTTTCTCATATTTTTTCTTTTCCCTTATTACCTTTCCCCTACCCTTCCCACTTTCCCTACACCTCTAGCCCTTTTCTTCCTATTTCACCTGTAAGCGAGTGAGTGTACAGTTCCCTCAGGGCTAAAGAGAATCCTACTGTTTGTGTGGGCAAAGACCCTTTGGCACAGCTCTGAATGGTGGCCCCTGAATTGGCATTTGGGGGTGAAGGAAGGAATATATGCACAGAAACACAGCATCTGGCTGAATGTTCTCTGGGTCTCCTTTCATCTAAAAATGGAGAATGAAATGAGAACGTATGTTTAAATGATGGAGATGAATTACTACATGGGTATTTGTGATAATAATAGTTTTTCTTCATTAATGGGGATTGAACCTAGGACATTTATACTGAGCTATATCCCCAACATTATGTTTTGGGTTTTTTTACCTTAAATTTTGAAATGGGATCACACTAAGTAATTGAATTGCCCAGGCTTGTCTTTCACTTCTGATTCTCCTTTCTAAATCTCCTAGGGTGCTGGGTTTATAGGCCTGTGCCACCATACCCTACTGTCGTCATTTTGACTGGAGACGGTGGTCTGTGTGAAAAAGGCTTTGACACAAACTCACTGCTGCTGGGATGGGCATCCTGACGACCTTCCTCTGGGCTCTGCTCATCACAGCCAAACAGGAGCCCCTGCCTGTGTGCAGAAGTGTGCGGTTCACTTATCTGAGAGTGGCGTGTAGCATCCGAGGTTCTAATAGGGTTAGAGATATGCAGGGAACGTGGAAGCGAATAACGGAGATAGTCTTAAGATGAAGGTTGAAATAATGTAGAACTTTAGTTACTATAGTCAAGAATCTAAAAACACCACTCATTCTTGTGTCCAGCTCCCAAACCTTCATTCCCACTGCAAGCTGAACATAAATTTTGCTAACTCAGAATAGTTTAATTTGTATGTAAACTTGGTCTGTTTCATCTCCCTCCTCTGAAGAGTAGTCCAAGTTTCACGAAGTCTTACACTTCATTACCCTGACCATGGGAAGACCTTAGGTCACCCTGTTCCTCATAGGGCCACACTTCAGAACTGCTCACCCGTTTCCTTGACATGAGACACCCCATCGATGAGCTTCTAGGGCTCACATCAGTTTGCCTGGCCACTGGCTTCCTCAGCCACTACTGCATGGCTTTTGATGGCAGGGATCACTACCACAGAAATGTTTTGGATGCTGGCTTGCTTCATGCTGGAGGTATTTGTAGGATGATGATATATTCTGGTTTGCAGGGAACACTGCCAGTTTTTACTGTTGTCTCTATGTAACTATTAATAGTACTCTCAAAAGTGTCCCAGTTTTACAATGCAATCCTCACCCTGGTGTGCATGACTCAAAGAGGCCCCTGAAAGCCAGACATTTCCCTTAGCCTTGCCTCCTGCCCCCCAGCTGCCTCCTTGGATGCAGGGCAGGTAGTGCCCAGTGGCTTTGAAGTTCTAATCAAACTATTACTCCAATCCTCCATCCTGCCTCAGATTTTTTCATGGACTGAGGGAAAGGAGGAAAGTTATGCTTGTGTCAGTCAATACTGTTCTCCACTATGCCTGTCTACTGAAAGCTTTCTCTGTATTTAAATAGAAATTTCTAGAAAATAAAGCCAAACCTTTGCTTTTTAGTTTCCTGGTGATGGCATTAGCTTTAAAGGAACCCTGTTGGTACGGAGATGGAATGACCCTGGTGAGTGCTACTTCAGGAAGCCGAAGGTGTGTGTGAGAGGAAGCATCTTCGGTGGATGAAGAGGAGATGCACAAAGAGCAGGCAGAAGGGGTTGGTGTGCATTGAAGGAGAAAGACACCCTAAAACAGCAGGAAGAAGTCTCAAGGCCATGTGGCTACTGTGCCACGTTGGTACAGGCAACAGGGAAGAGCACTGACAAAATGACTGGATCCGAGTAGGCTGCATGACAACCTGGAATTTCAATGAGAAAAGTGGGAATTGGATAAGTAGAAAACATTCTTGATGGAGAGAAAGGAAGAGGAGAAATAACAGATATTTTGAGGGAGCAGTGAACAAACCAGATGTCAACCAAAGTGGTTGGAACACACTGGGCACAGCATAGCAGCTGGGTATGAAGTTGAAAATGCAGCTTGGACACAGAATGGCCTTGCATACCAGAGTTTTGAGTTTAAACATCATCTCTCATACAAAGGGACACTTGAAGGATTTTGAGCAATGAAGAAACATAATTAAAGCAAATTTCTCTTACTTCCCTGATACTCTTTGGGGAGATACATTTGGCAGGTATATAGAGAAAGTAAAGTTTTGGAATGACTAGAGAGAATGACAGATCATGATTTTAAACTAGTTACTGTAATTACACTGAGGTAGGAATGATAGATAAGAAATCTCTTCAACGTAATAGAAACCATAGAAAACAACCAAATGTAAATTCTAGAATTGATTAATACAGCATCTGAAATTATAAAAAGTGTTACTAGAGGCATTTAGCAGAATGGAGCAAGCTTAAAGACAAACCAATAAAATTAGTTAATCTGACGAGGAGGGAAACAAAAATGAAAAAGATGAATGGAGCATAAAGTACATGAGAAATAATATCAAAAGGTCTAATGCTTGTGTTATTAGAGCCCCAGAGGAGAGGTAAGACTGTAAACATGATGGGAAAATCCTTCTCCAATTTGGTTAAAGACAGAACTTTATAGGTCATGAAGCTCAGCAAATTTTAAAGAAGCAATTACACCTCTCCTGCAGGCTGCGTCCGCCATCTTCAGCGCCGGAGGGTCTTCTCTGCTGCACCCTCCCCTGCTGGCGTCACTGCTGCCATCTTCAGCGCTAGAAAGGTAACCCGGGGCACCCCCGAATCCCCCAAACCTTCCCCCTTGCCCTTTTAGACCTCCTGATTGTACCAGGCTTTGGACCTACTCTGTAGAGGCACAGGTGGTCATAAAGAGTATTTTCTGGCACTTTCAACTTTGAACATCTTTAAAGAAGTGGTGGGGGAACTTACAGTAGAGCTGAGTGGAGTTCAGCCCTTCAGGAGTTCGGGGAACTCAGTCTGGGCCTCGCAGCCCGAGCTCAGTCTGCTTTGTGGGGTTCTGCAGCTAGACTCGGCTCTGCACATGGTAGCACATACTGAATATTATGATAGCAGTGATACAGTCTGAAAGAGGCCCTTTAAACTCATGTTTGTTTCTTTCTTTTTTCATCCTACTCTGCAATTTTTTTTCTTTTTGTTTTCTTTCTCTAACTCAGTCTCTTACTCCACTATAGTATCCCTCATCTCTCTGTTTCTGCTCTTGTCCTAATTCAGATTTCTTCTTTTATTATTTTTTTCTCTTTTCTTTATGTTCTTTTCTTATGTTATTCTATCTCACTCAAGGGTTACTATATTTCTATTTTGTTTGTTCTTTTTGAATTTAACAATTTCCTGATGATTGTCTGGTCATTCTATGTCTTTTGGCTTCATATGAAACCTCCAATTCTTATACTTATCTACTCCTCTTGTTTTAACTTTGTTTTAAGCCCACATTGTAAATGGTAAATACCCTTATTGAAAAGTTTATTTACTGTAAGCATATTTTGGATTACTTCTTGATCTTAATTAAATTTACATGGTTTGAAGGTGATAGATTGATGACTACCATAAGTGGTCAATTTGCAAATTGTGCTTCATTATATTGTCGTGATGATTGTATCAATTAGGATAAAGGATTGTGATTGATTCAATGAGCTGTTTTCTTCAGTATGATGAAAACGAGAATGTCTGTGAGTCATTAGAGACCCATGGGCTGCAGCCCAACTATATCAGGAAGATTTAAGTAATAATCTAAAGGTTAAAAACTAAGGATAACCCAACAACAATAGTAAAAATGAGAAAATGCTTAAGCAAGATGTAGGGACAGACTTCCAGTTCACCAATGGCAAATAGTGCAGCAAATGAGGATGAAAAGTCTGATAGTGAATCATCAGGTCACCTTGAACTCAAAGCACAGGAAGTAACAAAACTGATCAATCAGGCTCTAGAGAAATATAAAACCAAAGTAATTTCCCAGATAATCATAGAGATGACAAGCAAAATGAAAGTTATAATTTGTGACTCTAGAACAGAAACTGAGAGGAAAATAGATGAGCTCAGGACCATGATAGAAGCTATGAATGCTCAGCATATTGGAAATAATAAATGCCAAAATACAAGAAAGAAATGGAATCCATAGGACAGATTCAAACAGATATCCAGGAGATTAAAAACTCCATTGAGAGTGTTCACAAAAGAATAAAAGAGTCCAAAGATAGAATCTCAGATATAGAAGATATAATTGCAGTCAGTGACCGTGAAAAGAGAGCCCTCTTAAAAACAGTAGGAGATCATGAGAAATTGATACAACAACTCTTAGACGATACTAAGAAGAATTACATAAGATTGATAGGAATTCAAGAAGTAATAGGAGAAAATGTAAATGACTTAAAAAAGCTGTTCACAGAATTAATTATAGAAAACTTTCCAAATAGAGGGGAAGAATTTGACATACAGATAAGTGAGGCATGTAGGACTCCAACTAGCCATGATCAAAAAAAATCTACACCTAGACATATAATAAGATTCCAGAAACCCAACAGAAGAACAAAATACTATAAGCAGTAAGAGACAAGAAACAAATTACATGCAAAGGAAAGCCTGTCAGAATTACAGCACATTTTTCAATACAAACCCTTAGGTTAAGGAGAGCCTGGAATGAGATACTTCAAGTACTAAAAGAAAGCCATGATCAAAAAAAATCTACACCTAGACATATAATAAGATTCCAGAAACCCAACAGAAGAACAAAATACTATAAGCAGTAAGAGACAAGAAACAAATTACATGCAAAGGAAAGCCTGTCAGAATTACAGCACATTTTTCAATACAAACCCTTAGGTTAAGGAGAGCCTGGAATGAGATACTTCAAGTACTAAAAGAAAACAACCTCCAACCTAGACTGATGTATCCTGCAAAACTTTCTTTTAAAATGGGTGGGGAAGTAAGATATTTCCAGGATAAAGAACACCTGAGAAACTTTATGAATACCAAACCAGCACTACAACGAATTCTAAACAATATCCTAGAAAAAGACAATGAAGGTAACAACACAATGAGTCTCAACAGAGCAAAACAAATAGGCAAGCCAAGAAACTAAAAAGGAGAAGGTGAAAAAAAATGATAATAAGTTAGTACATATCTGTTATAACCCATCAATATTAATAGCTTCAATTCACCAATCAAGAGAAATAGACCAGCAGAATGGATTAAGAAGCAAGATCCAATAATATGTTGTATGCAAGACACATCTAGTGTAAAAAGAAGCCCATAGACTGAAAGTGAAAGGACAGAAAGCTTCTTCATGTAACAGGAGCCCCCTCCCCGCAAAAAAAAAGCAGGGGTAGCAATTTTATTCACAGACAAAGTAAGTTTCAAACTTAAACTGATTGAAAGAGACAAAGAAGTTCACTACATCCTTGTGAAGGGAATAATTCAAGAGGAAGAGATAACAAATAATTTATTTTTAATTTATTGAGTATGTCAGAAAGTATATATGCTTTTTTCCCCCCTTTTCTTCTTTTTTTCCTTTTTCTTTTTCTTACTCTGATGCTGGGGATTAAACTCGGCACATTGTTCTGGCTAGGCAGGTACAGCACTATTGAGCTAAAT